GTCACATGACCATGGGCGTGGCCTGATGACGTCATCACTGGTGTTTCTGATCAGGAAAAAGTTAAAACACATGAAATAACTCTGAACTAACTAAAAATGATGAGGTTATATGAGACTAAATTTCCCTAGCAACGGCTCAAAAAGATCGGTTAATGGGCCCTTAAGGAAAGTTAATTTTCGGTGGCCTTGCTTCTGAATTTGGACATCAACATTGTAGACGTATACGAAATCTTCAAAAACGTGTGCATTTTGACGAGCGAAGCATTACAGTTAGCAGTGAATCATGAAGGTAAATCAATCCTTACCTATCTCCTAGGCGAAGTTCTTGACGTTTTCTCCCATCAAAAGACGTCCATGCAGAGCTTCTGCTACCCGAACTAACTACGATCTAAATCAAACAAAATCAGCTTTAAGATTGTGATAATTAACACATCTCTCAAGAAGACTTTGAAACAAAAGCAATGCTCCAGACGAATGTTACCGCCACTAAGTTCTTTATATTAATCACCAAGCTACCTTGATTTCTACTCCGGCAGGAAGGATGATTGGCCTAAACGAGAGGGAGTGCGGACAGACAGGGGTCACTAAGATGGCAGCCACGCTGGGGTGAACCATTGAAGCTCCTGCGGCTACTGCATAAGCTGTACTACCAGTTGGAGTGGACACGATAAGACCTAGAGTAATCAACAATGTCAGGTTTATGACAAAGTAAAATTACGCGCTACGACTACGGAAAGTTGTAAATGGGTGACGATAAGAGCGACATGTGGTCTCACACAGGACATTGAAAGCATTTTTCAGTTAAACGCGAACACTGCATAAAGCAAGTCTAAATAATCAAATGCGACAAGATTACGCTAGTCTTTGTTGTACCGAATATGTACTAAATGTGGGCGACCATAGATTTCGCACCAGTGTTTTTTAACAAATTGTTTGTCAAACGATCAAGAACTTATTTTACAGACAATAATTTAAATTATTTTTCCTCGTTCAAACGTCAATTTTCTGAAGACGCCAGTTGTTTATCGAAGAATTGCATTTGGTTACTGGAACTTATCAGGTAATGACACTAGATCAGTTGGCATTTAATATAACGCATTTAACAAATCGACCAATAAGCGCGCGAGAATTCTCTCAATTATCATTTATGGAAAATCTATTTTCTCAACTTAATTCGCTTTTTAATGATTGGTTGAGCATAGTTCACAAAATGAAGCAGAAAAGACCAAAAAAACTGGACAGATTGAAGGCAATGCATCTCACCGTCTCCTTGTACAGATGTGATGTGATGATCATTGCAATATATTTCCAAGTTTGTAAGATACGAGGACGGACCACGGTCAACAACTACTTCGTTCAAAACCTGTTGAACAACACCGCATGCAACAACTACATCAACGATTTACACACACTACAAAATAAGTTGAATAAGCTCTACTGATAACTTTGTCAAACAATCCTAACGTCTACTCTTCAGGTGTCTTTGCACGTGTGACTTAAAAAAACTATTTGACTTTGCAGTGTTTTGGTACAACAGGCTTGGGGACTGGGAATACACCCGCGACAGTCTTGGGATACCACCGCTAACCAGCAAATAGTAGTTGTCCTCCCCATTCCCACCTCCCAAATCAGTGTTGATTTCTATTCATCCAGCTACACGACATTTCATTACGAAGGGAGACTCGAAAAATTGAAATTGAGCACAAATGGATTTGTCCCTTGGTACTATTTTTTAGTGTCCTGGGAAATCTTGTCTTGCATTGTAGTTCTTCGTATGCAGTTGTTAAGAAAACAACAACAACAACAACAACAACAACAAGCATTGTCAAGCTCCCGTTATAAAAAGTTTAGGGAATGCAAGCAGATGAGCAAAACTACGTTTAGCGTCTCCTCGCTATTTTTGTCTCTTAGAGATTTAAGATGGTAAGCCACTGCAGCACAATAGGCCCTTTGCACGATCCGGTCACATGGTACAAAATCACACAAAGGGCCTATAGCATCAACAGAGAGCCTTGTCACAGCGTACCGCGACTAAGCGATCAAACAAAGTAACAAAAGAAAGGTTAACTGACCAGATAACGTGACTTCTTGTTTTTGCTTTTGTCATCCTTGTCACGCTGTATAAAGTCACACTGTAGTCTACTCCTTAAGGTTAAGCACGCGTGACCTGTGAATGGTATACAAGAAATCAAGCAAATAAGGAACCTGAGTCGTGTGTTTGGATGTCATTTATTACATTTTTCCTCATTAGTACATGACTTTGCGTAGAGAGGGAATCATGTCAGATATGAAATTACTCCAAACAAGTCAAGAGCTAGTCAAACTTACATCATGGTAAAAAGGTTCAGCTCGTTGGGTGTTATTTTGAAGCGAACGGCTTGTGAAGCCAAGCCTTAATTGCCTACCACACTTCGCCTACGGAATTCGTCTCAATTTCACCAATGTTCCAGCCTCCTACGCACACGTTCTTTGGAGTCGTCACGTAACCTCCCATCGCGTGACGAGCCCAAAGAGTGTCTGTGCGGGAGGCTACCAATGTTCTTACTTTGTTCGTGTTTCTCTACTTCCGCAACCTGTTATAGTCAGTATTCTTTCGAGTTAAAGGTGATTCTGTACACTCCCAATAACTTGTAAATCGCTTCCTTAACGTCTCAAAACGTGCACCTGTATTTTTCATTTGTACGACAGCTACATATCTAAGATACAAGAAACCAAACTCACCTTCTAAAATGTTTGTTACTTTTTCTCGGAAATCTTGAAACCTAAACGACGTTAGGAATCCTAAAGAACCGAGATGAAATGCCATAACAGGAGGGCAGCTGAACTGTGGAGGAAAAAACACAACTTCAAGTACGGTTTAGCGTACTTGCAGCCTGGATACACGTTGCCTGAAAAGACCTCTGTGAAATGGACAATTAGGAATACACCCTTCCTCGTCTTTCATCACCAACTCCCAAATTAACTATGATTATTCATTTCGAAGAGATCGTACGGGCGACAGAAATTATCAATCGTTAGTCACTAAACGGACAGAATTTCGGCGAGATTAACCTCATATAAAAACGCTGTAGCGAAATGGAACGACTAGAATCACAACACATTACATGGAGTGAACAACCAGCCNTAGCCATTTTTCAACTGACAGAACTCAATATTAAGGCAAATCCGCCATGTTTTCATTGTGCGCGTGCACGAGCGCGCGCCAGTGGCGCCATAAATTATGCGCAGTAAGGATGCGTAATGCAAATGTGAGGAATCACCTTAACATTCTTTCACCCGTTCGTCCAATCATCCTGGTTCCACAAAAGACCAATAAAATCAACACGACAAAAAAAATGCTCACCTGAAACAGAGACGACGCGTGCAAAAGTGTACCGTCCCCTCCCATGCAGACGATGAAGTCAATTTTGTCATCAAGCTGCTCGCCTTTACGAATTTAAAGACAACAAGAAACGTCAAGGTCTATCGATCTTTTATCACTTTTTGGCTAAGCTAAATCTGTGGTCTTTGTGATTGTTGGATTGCTGGTACGAGCGGGGGTAATCGATATGAACTCTGTTATGTTCTAGAACAATCAGAGAATATTGGCGTTAACTATTCATGCCTTTAAAGTTTCTCATTCTAGAACCATTCTGTAACACGATTTTTGTTTTCCATAAAAAAATAACAATTCACCTTCTTTGAAAATACAAATTTGCGACCTGACTGCTGCAAACTTTTCATCCTTAAGCACCATAGGATCATCAACAGCTGATGATTCCGCGTATATCACCATTTTTCTCTCCTGCAAAATAATACAAATGTCCCAGGAATTAATTTACAAACAAATTTTATGGACGGGTTAAAGCTAAATCCAAAACACGGCTAGTCTAGTTGTAACTGCTGAATGAGCCTTAGCTGAAGTTCAGGGCTGAGTTGTTTGAAGGCCGGTTAACGCAAACCCAAAATTAAACGTTAACTGAAGTATTCATTTTTCTTGTATAAAAAAATATTTTTCACTGCTTATGCTTTGTTTAGTTTGAGACTATTTAAACTCAAAACCTGAAGGACACATAATATAAACAGAAAACCTCACCGAGAAATTACAAAACTGAAATCAAAATTTTCACACTATTGTCGTGATATTGATTTCTTTTTATATAAGAGTTTCGTACTACCCGTGTGAAAATATTTTCAAGAAATTTTTTTTGACTTTTTTTTACGGAAAAAAGGAAAATGGACACTGATATCGCTTTAAAACAACTCAGACGTGCAGGAAACATGACTTACTTCTATTAGCCATCGCGTGAGTTCTTTGAAGCACTTAGTAACTTCCTGGTCCAAGACTTTTTTTATTACTAATACATTGAGAGCTGGATTGGCCCAGGCCAGGAAATGTTCTGAGGGATCTACATGGCTGCTATAAGAACAAAGAGGAGAAAACAAAATAATTAAAAACGCTATCAGAGTGAGTGCTATCCGAGTGCATCATCGTGGTCATTCTATGAAAACTGTTTGACTTCGGATTTTCCGTATTCTTATGCATATATCGTTCAATATTGGCACCCTTCAAAAAGGCGGAACCCGGTAAGATCCGGTTTCTTTTGCTTGAGTTCAGCTTACAAAAGCAACCTTCCAAAGGTGCTGATCAAAAGGACAGGAGAAAACTTGCATGTCTCCCTAGGGCCCGTTACATTTCTTGAGAGGAAACAATGTGCTCTAGTTTTATTTGCTTATTGTTGTTTTTGTTTCATCTACACTGATATATTTTGCAGTCTATTACACGAAAGACTTCGCGGAAAGCCTTCGGTAGGCCCAATATAATCATTACAAATATTGACATGTTACTAAGAAATAAAAGACTGCTGTGCTGATGCCTTAAAAACAACCCCTAACTAAGGGTTCATTCCGTATCCACTGGTATCCGAAGTAGCAAAACCTGAAGTAACAACATCTTAACAGGTTACAAAATTTCTATGCACCGCAAAACCAAGTGAACTAATAAGGCGTGAAAATCTCATGAACGACTAGGTCTAATGTATCTTATTTCAGTTTTCGAATTTCAAGAAAGGAAAAGAATATCCAAGGAAATGACGTGGGGTTATACAAGGCTATTGCCAGTTGGGACTCGGGCTTTTTGGTCACCGCAAAGGACCCAATATTTTAACATAATTGTACGTCTCATACGTCAGTCTAATAATTAAAAAAAAAAACCGTTGCAGTTCTCGAGGGAGAACTGCAAAACGTTTACCAGCTGTAAATCCACAAGGCAACCCCCTATTTTAAAATGACACGAGCTTAACAGTAGAACTAACTTACTTCCTAAGCTGGCAGTCCTCAGTTGTACTCAAGTGAGTGTAGAGTATGAACAAGCTGTACAGTGCATGGGTTCGCAACTGTTCCGCCACTATACCCCATTAGGGAGCGTGTTCACAGGCCAGGAGAGTAACACTGGCGATATTACAAAAGGTACGATGTACTCAGACTGAGCACATCAAAGGAAATTCAAAAGAAATTACATTCCACGCAGTTCTTTCTTTCACCTAACAATAGTCGCGGGCAATAACAAATAGTTTTGTAACAAAATCCGAGTCACGAAGCAAGATCGTATGAGGACCCGTGCTTTCCAAACAACCCTCTCCTTCAATACGGTTGAAAGTTTGACTAGTAAGTGATACCAAACTTCAGCCTCACATGAACAATAAAACAGTTATTATTATTAAGTTTTGTTTTTGGCAAATT